ATAAATATTGTTATTACTTTCCTGAATGTTTTAATAATAATGAATTAATGATAATAATAATAATGTTAAATTTAAGAAGAAGTATATAAGAAATATATACATATATAATGTATAATAAAATCAAATTGTAACTTAGATATTCTATACAGAGAAACGTAAGAAAGAACATTTCGCTATAGGTCTAAGTTGGAAGTTACTATTATCAAAATGAAGTTTGAATCAAACAGTTATTCAAATAAAATTTTTATCTGAGTTTTTATTTAATCTACTTTATCTGAAATAATGTTATTAGTTTATGTCATAATAATGTTTCATGAAATAAATTGCTTTTGCATTTGATAATTTAATTAAATTAATCAACGTACTATCGGAATATTGATTGTACTTGTACGATTACATTACAGACAAAGACAAAATCATAATGCAAAATAATTTTTATGATTGTACATTATTTAATATCGATTTCAATTACATTTCACGTTCGATAAATACGATGCAAATGCGTAAGAATTTGCAGTTTAATTGCAATCCAAGTCAGTAATTTTAATTTTATAAATGATAAACGGAAATTAATAAACGATCTTGACTTATTTGGATAATTGACATTTATCTTCTCCCATGCTGTTCATAGAACGATCGATTTATATTGTCTGAAATTCTGCTTAACCCTTTCAACCCCCTTCCCTTTCATTAAACCGGATAAATAGCAGTGAACCGTTAAGCACGTCGCAAAGATAGCAGCTCACGTATATTAATTCCCAACCGAACCTTCTGTAACAGTAAATCTGATTTATTGATAAAGTTGCGCATTCATGTGTGCCCCAAAGTAACGGCTTATCACCCCTTCTTACGCGATAGAATATTATATGAAATGAAACGTGAACTAGTTAAGAATGCCTTACGTTTATCATCTCAGACGAAGATAAGGGCGTTAGGGGGCCACATTTTTTAACTTTAGTTCTACTATGTTAGAATATTAATAGATTGTCCAATTTTATGATCTGATCTTATAAAGTTTTTATAAATTGTTATGATATCGCATGTTTCGCTAAGTTTATCGAGTTGTGAGACCAATTGCGTTGAACGACAATATTATGCCGTACACTGTATGTCATGTTAACCCTTTATGGCTATACTAATTTTGTATATAAAAGAAGTTTATGGTTTGTTTTACAATTTTTTATTTTAGACAAATTCAATACAGTAATAGTTATATAGTTTATATAAATCACTTTAATCATAAATATTTTAATTATTTACTTCTTATTAATAATTTATAATTTTATACTTCAATTACTGTCATTTTAAACAGCCAGAACGGTCAAAGTGTTCTGTCGAGCATAATTCGCCTCACGGCCACAGGGGGTTAATTAAACGTTACTGATTTGTTGTAATTAAGGTGAATTTATTGTAATTGATATATATATATATTTTTAAATGTTTACACTCAATACAGAAACATTGATTTTTGTAACTTTATTAACAGGAGTTAGAAAAAAATTTGATCCTACTCTTAACGGTGTTAAGGTTTAAATAAAATGAAAATCTTATTGCCCTGTATTAACCTTTCCACCATTCTGATCTTCACAGAATGATTCTATTGTAAAGACTAAAGATAAAATTGTAAAGACTAAGATAAAATCTACAGTCTAGCGATCGCATTAAATATATTAAACTATCTCAAATAATAAAAATAACTTACATGATTAAGTTCAATTCCTATAAAACTGATTTATTGTTGTTTATTATAATAAACTTCGTTAGCATTCCCTTCATATTCCACATTTTTCTCATAACTTTTTTAATAAAATTTCGAACGACATATAATTGTATTACTATGGCTATGTAACACTTTTTTTCTTATTTATACATATAGAACACACTGGCGAAGTTTCACCGAAAAAACTGGCACAATTTGCATACGGCTAGTAGAATTTACACAGTGTTTCATACTTCGCAACTCGACGAGAGTTTCTGTTTTTATTGTGATAATAACAAATAAAAATAAATAATTTCTTTTCAAAAAATCGTTTATCGAAATAGAAGACAAACAATATAATACTATAGGAAAAGTTTTGAATAATGGAAGTTTGTAATTAAGTGAGAGTTTTCTATTTTTCTATTGTATTAACAACAAATGAAAATAAAATATTTGTTCTTCTCAAAACTACTTGCTCATACAAAGGACAAATAATAAAGTATTATATACCTCGAATAAACCTATCGAATAAACCTCGAATAAACCTACTAAAAAAAACAGTGAATTATTCTAATTTACGCTATGTTAGTGTGAATTTTGAAAGAAAACATTTTTGAGATAACGTTTTACAGTTAAATTTCTTTCGATTAATTTATTGTGTGATTGTAAATATAAAAAGGGAATATCCATATCTCACTAAAACTATCATTAGTCCTTTGTTCTATCATTTATTTCTTAACTATGATCTATGCAACTACTCTATCGTTAATAATTTATTAGCAAAAGATACAGTTTTTATGTTCATTCCATATCTGCGTTCATTTCAAAGGTTAATTATTAATAACAGAAAAATAATATTTAATTTATATTTAAAAAATGTAAATGACACTTAGATTCCTCTAATTTGGTTTGAAATTTTCACCAGTCTGACACGATGTCGTAAGTAAAAGGGTTAACTCATTTGCTTCCAAAAATGGACTCATATCAATTAAAAAAGAAACGGCTCAATTATACTCAACACCTGATAAAACTCATAGCTGTTCGAACAAAATGAAGCATCTCACCTCGGCGTAGAATCGCAAAGCATCACCACCTCCGCAATTAAAGGAAAAAAACGTCGTTCCCGATGTACAAAATATTGCAACGTGGAAGCTCTGTAAGCCAGCGCGCACCCACACGCTTGCACTCGATATTTGCGCGAGCTGGCCTTTTCTTTCAGCCAGCAAAGCGTTTGAAAAGCGCTGCAATATGTACCCGATTGTGTTTGCTTGCGTTTTATCGGTTCGGTTCGCGATTGCGTGCGCGCATGTTAATAGTCGCCGAGAATTTCCCCTGGATTTGAACGTTGTCTCCATGCAAACCGTCCCACAAAGTACTTACGTCCAGGGGAGGAGCGCGTGGTCGCGTCTACGCAAACAAAAGAGGAGAAGTCGGATAATGGCCGGCAATCAGTGGTAAATGTGGCGAAGTGCAGGTAACAATTCGCTTACGGCCTGGAAAAAGGAACTTTCTTTCGGCCAGTCAGAGAAGTTTTCATTCGAAAACCGAGAGTTTCCGCTTTCGGTGCTTAAAGTTCTGCCGCGTTACGTTCATACCTCGCATTCGGGGCACGTGCTTAACCGAGTATCAACGGGAGTGGATTGTATCGTCGCGACTAACTACGCGAGACCAAGTTCAGTTTCTTCCGAATTGACCGTCGAAAACTTTCTAAATACCGGCCGTTTTAAGGTATACACGAGTCTTCTCTTTTAATCTCGGAGGAATAATACTTGTAAGGTTATTTCTTATTTTAAGGCTGCCAGCAACTATGGCGTTGGCAGTGATTACGGTATGCCAGTGGTTTTCAAATGTATGTTTGGTATGTTATTGGTATGTTACGTGGATTGCTGCGAAAGTTTCGGGAAAGTATGAAAGAATCCTTTTGTTATTACCGCACGTTTATCCTGCTAAATTTCACTGCATTAGGTAGCATTATTTATCATATCAAAATGTTTAAAAATAATCATGGTTTAATTCACAGAATTATAGTAATTTAACTTGGATGGGGGTCATTGATGACCCCCGTGGCACTTAACATGTTAATATATATTTCCATTGTGCTGTGTCAGTACTTCTTAGATGTAAAAATGTGAAGCTGTGAGGAAATAATAAAAAATGCCAGATTTCCGAAACTTTTGCAGCAACCTATATACTACAATATGGAATTTTACCAACGTAGCCAGCAATATGAACCTGTTATGAGCTTGATTTTTTATTATTTCGAGCGTTGTAAAAATCTGAAAGTATTCTGAGATACTTATTATAGTCTCCGATTTAATATACAAATGACACATTAGCCGAATGTTCATTTTATTTTTCAACAGAAATTAAAAGTCGTGGTGTGGTTATGAAAAAATGAGATTCTTTTAAAAGGTGCATGATTTTATAATAACCAATGTTAAAGAATGATATTGTAGACTTTTACTCATAAGACTATGACCTTTCGAAAAAATATGAAGAGATTTGCCAGCACTTAAAAAAATATAATTATTTTGTGACTTCGATTCGTGAGATTCCATATTTTTCGTAGATAAAATGAGATTCCCCTTTAATAAGTAGAAATAACGAACAATAGTCAGGCACAGCTCTAAACGATCACGATAAATGCATCACTCGTATATTCTACCTTGGACTTTTTCTTTAAAACGAAGTGTATTATGATTCTTGTAAAAATCGGATACCTAAAATATAAAAGATGCTATTTAAAAAATGGAAATTCCAAAAATTTGAAGTTTTCAAAAAGAATTTCCCACTCGAAGAGACTTTTTTCTCAACAGCTATAAAAATTACGTTTCCTTGAGCATTAACTACACCATTAGTCACACTTTGATGTACGCTAGCCGAACGACATTCGAATAAATTTTTCCGATAACGAAGTCGATATCGGAGAAGAAAAATTATTTTATACGTTCGACCTAAATTTATCCTTTTACGCAGAATCAGTGCCCCTTTGCTTATGCGACGGGTTATGAAGCATATACCCGATCACACTGCACTATTACGTGTTTGGGAACACGTGCATCTGCATCCTTTGAAATCTGCTGGTTGATTGTTAATATAGATATTGTATCAGCGCGGAGTATTTGGTGCATCTGACAACATGTATGCGCTGGTAATCCCGCGACAATGTGCTTTGAACGATGCGTACAAACAATGGAAATTACACGAACTTGTTTCCTATTCAATGACGCCGTTATCCCAAATATGTGTAACGCGATTCTCAACGCACATCACAATATTGAAAAAGTAAATAATAAACACTTCGATACGTAAATAATATCTGGTGTTGAGTTGATTATTTAATTGAAAATCTGATTTTTATTTGTATTCAGATTTGCAACGATTGAAAGTATTATTATATTATGAATAAAACAATGTACAAATAATAACTTAGCAGTGAATTATAATTTGTTATTATTTGAAATTCAGTGATTTATTAGGTATTACTAATTTTTATCTCCGTTGTGACTACATTATATTTTTGTGGAAAACAAATAAGTATATTCTCTGAAAGATTATAATAAATTATGTATTACGATAAATATGACGAATAATATTATGTTTCTCAATTAATTACGTAATGCTCTCATAAATAAGGAGATAGGGTGAAGGTAAAAGTTCTAAGTAACAACAGAAGAAATAAACAGTTTATGTATTTAAGAATATAATAAGAACAAATGTTTGTTTGCTTCTCACGTTTTTAATAATTAAGACAAACGAAACCCTTTAAATCTAATTATCCAATATAAATAAATAATTTATAAATAAGTAAGAGAAATATATTTTAGATTTTTAAAAGTGTTGTTTATCTTTATTTTTAGAAATAAAAATAGTATATAAATATCGAATTATCTATAGGATGACTCGATAGAAACACACCTTGACCAGTAGACCAAATAGCCAATTTTGAAAATGGTCTAAGTCATTTTAAGCTTCAAAAATTATATTTCCTTACCAGCTGCCCACAAATCACAATCATAATAAATTTTTACCTTACAAAATCAAACATTTCCTGAAATATTTTCTTTCATATACAAATATTTTTTAATTTATTCAAACGCAAACCTTTAAATATCACGAAACGAGAAGTTTCATCACGCCACTTTCATAATTACCAACACATACATAAATATTATAAAAATTTACCAAATCCCCAGGCGGGCGAATTGCAAAGAAAAATTAGAAATAGCAAAAAATCCTGCTGCATTTTTCCATAGATTTATCGGCATGAACTAAAGACTGCAATACAAAACATGAATTTTTGAATCTCTCACAGCGTAATAACAAAATTTCTATTTATAAATTATGCAAAAAACTGGAGGAAAAGATGAAATGTCTGAAAAATTCGTGTCTTCGAGTCTCCGGGGAAACAAACGTTCGCTGAATCGATGTGCGAGTAGGAAAATTCCAGTGATTCGAATGCAGAAAATAAATGTATGGCCTTGTGGAACGGTTAACTGGGAAGCTCTGGGCCCTATCTCTTTCGATATCACGAATTCTTGTTTGGCGTATAAGCACAGGTACGGTAAAAATGCTAAGCTCGTTGGAAGATGAGAGGTCGCGCGTCTTGTTTTCCACCAGTTTCCTTTTGGTCCTGTAATACCATGCACAGGACTACCACGCCGGCTGGTTATGGTGAAATGTGTATGGTTTCGTTCCTTGTTATACGCGGAACGAGAGTCTGCCGGTTCGTCGTAGTTAGATGCCTGGCAGTTTTCAATATTTTCCTCAAGGCTTTTCGTGGAAATTGCTTTCTTGGCTATTGGCCGCTAGGGAAGGGCCTCCATTCTTGAATATTTACGGCTATCGCGATTTTGTTTCTCTTCTTTTTAATATATTTATAGATTATAAGCGATGCTACTATGCGCATGCAATAAGTAATGTTCGCAGTACAGAGAATGTTTTACTAATTACCTCCCGTGATGTAATGCTGTAATGTAATTACCTCCCGTGATTACAAAAGAACAATTACTTTGAAATCGAATGAATCGAGAAATATTTATGTCTATTAAATCATGTCGAAAATCTTCACCACAAGCCTGACACGCTGTTATAATACAAGGGATTAATAAAAATTATTTTATCCCTTTACGGACCACGACGGAGGGTAACGTAAAAAATCGATAATATCTGATGGATTTATAAATGAAAAATGGTTAGGACGAAAACAGTGTTTATATATCTTTTTAAGTAATTCATCAATTTATTTTACGTATTTAATAGGTACTACTGTATTTTAACGCTTTGTATTTGCCGGTAAATTGTAATTTTGATGGCCAGTAAAAAATTTGTGAACGCACGTAAACATCAAAATAGGTTCAGTGAACGTTTCTGGAATTTTAAGAATTAATTCACTTTTCTTTCTTTGTTTTTATTGACCGGAAGTGGTAATAAGATACATGAATAATGCAAAGTAGTGTATTTGCAGTGGTTACTAATAGCATAAAACTTATATATGTATTGTAGTCCCATAACGACCATAACTTTGTATGTTAAGAATTGTAATGATTTTTTACATAACTGCACTCATTAAAATATTGTTTTATCTCAATAAATAATTCATTAGGAAAACAGGAATTCTACTTACATTGCAAATCTAAACTTATAATATTTATTTACTGTAATCAGTAGTCCCTGTTGTAAATCTATATCTGTTTATTTAATTTAGTCTGCGGCTTTTGTTATTTAATAAAATAAATTATCAAAATTATATTGAGATCATAAAGATAGTTCTAAAATAGTATTCCATACCTATGATAACATTGACCATAGACAATGTTTCACCTGACATGGATGTTTCGATACTTTAATTACAATTTTAATTAAAGAAAATTGGAAACGAGCGACATTAATACGGGTTTGTTATTACCACGGCAAAATTTTATAGTAAACAATTGTAAATACGAAACAAATGGCATTATTGAGTATTATTGCCATAAAGATTTGTAGTCGAGTATGCGGAAAACTAATTAATATTCGAGCAGTATTGCGCTGAGTACTATAATTTTAATTAATGCACCAGGTGGCGACGAGAACTTCCAGGTGACCATGTAAAAATGCAATTAATGGAATCCTCTTATATCCAATAATCAAATTGTTTTAATTAATAAACATCTATTGATTTATGATATACGTACGTGCATGCTTATCCAGTGTATCAACAAGAAACTCTGCTAACAGTCGAATTGGATGTTAAATTTAAAATAACAATATACTGAGTCTTTTAGATAATTGTGCTGTC